AAAAAGAAGTCTGATGAGGAGATGTGGTGATCTCCGAAATAGTGCTATAACTTCTACCGCTTAGACTTTGTTGCTTTTTCAATTTTTCCTAATAAACAATCGTGGTACAAAGCTCAATAAAAATATTAAAAATATTCATTTAACTTTAACGCAAAAACACACTCCCAATTATTAACTGAAAATATTCTTTTTTAAGTCGGACGGAGTCGTCTCAATTTTTTTTTGGGGTTCTATGCATGAAATAAGCTAAACTTGTTCGAGGAATTTCTTTCTTCTTTTTTTTTCTTCGGAGATATGATCTGTCAAAGTTTGCATTTTTTCGTGATTCTGACTAATCATGTACTTCTTTAATTCGTTATATCCCGGGTTCTGCTGATCGTAGAGACTTCATCTTAACGTCATTTTAAAGCTAAGAAACGGGTTTAACATTTCTGTATATAAGGTGGTCAAGATTGTCCTAAAGCTAACGTAGCTATTAACAGTTGAACTTTTTGAAGCTGATTTGCATAGTGAAGACCAGTACATTAGGGATTTATACCTCGTAATCCTTGTTTAATTCTCCATAAAAAACGTGGTTCAAAAAAGTGGGGGTTTTTGAAGAACTATTTTGAACATATTTTTCTTTATGACGATATGGTTTATTTTGTGAGAATCAACAATTATTTGTAATTTTTTTCGAAAACGTATGTTAAGATATATTTGGTAAGGTGTTAAACATCGGGTTTTTGCAAAAAGTAAAATTTTATGGCGGATTCCGATAGAATACCTACCCAGATATAATATTTGTATGGCAAGATATTTCTTTAAGGCGACAAACCCCTAGAAATGGGCGTGGAAGTTGTAGGATAGTTTCGGGGATTGGTTTCAAGATAAACTGAAGGAATACTGCTAAAAGGGACTTTTGTCTTAAAAACAGGTAGAACATACGACTTCGCAGGGTTAAGAGAAAGGCCGTTAAGAGCAGCCCAATGCGAGATTGATGATAAGTCCATATTCAAATCAAATGTGATTCTGTCCAAATCCCTAGAGGGACCCGATAAATATATCTGGATGTCATCAGCATATGCATGCATTTTTACATATTGGCATGTCATGAATATGTCATTTATGAAATCACTAAATAACAAGGGCCCAAAATAGATCCCTGAGGAACGCGTGTTACGAATTTAGTTCTAGAGGTTGCTGAACCAACCTTCACACGCTGGGTTCTACCTATTAGGTAGCTTTTCATAAGAGATAGTGCAGTTTTACCGAATCCGAAATAATATGAAAGTTTAGATCAGAGTAGTGTGTGATCTACGGAGTCAAATGCTTTGGAAAAGTCAAGAAGGCACAGGAGGGAAACATCATCATTATCGAAATCAATTCGCAAGTCGTCAAGAATTTTTACTATCGCAGTTGAACAACCATGCCCTGCTCTAAAACCTGATTGAAAAGGAGATAACAAGTTCTTTTCGGACATATGTGACATGATTTGCTCAGGCATTAGGGACTCAAACACTTTTGACAAGGCAGGCAAAACACTAATTGGACGGAAATCACAAGCACGCACGTTTGATTTTAGCAACTGGGCAAATGGAAGCGGCTTTCCATAACTTTGGAAAACAAGATGTGGTAAAACAGTGGTTAATGATGTGTGTCAGTGGACTTATGATGAACGGCATAACTAGCTTAATAAATCGAATTGGAAGACCATCCTCGCCAACCGCATTGGAGTTTATTTTTAGGATACATCTAGCCACATCACATTCAGGTACGGAGGAAAATGCAAAAGGTACGCTCGAATACGTAGGAACTACAAAGAAACACATCATTCAGACTTTCAACATCTAACATACACTCAGTTCTGTCCTTGGCATGTACCTGGAGATTTTTCATATTCCGCCATAATTTACCAGAGGGGAGAGAAGGATCGAGTTTGACTGCAAAGTATTTCCACTTTTCTGCCTTAGCTACCAGGGTGGCTCTATTTCTAGCTACACGAAAAGCATCCCAGCTAGCTGTTGTATAGTTTCTCCTCCAAGTGCGGTAAGCCTTAGTACGGGACTTGATGGCTTCCCGCAATTTACCATTAAACCAAGTACATGTGGTAGTTTTTTTTATAGCGTAGAGGAACATACGTGTTATACGCAGATAATACTTTGTTGTTTAGATATTCAAGTTTTTCATTCACGGATTCGAAATAGCAACAGTCATACCAGTTTACATTGTCCAGTTCATTTTACAAAGCATCCAAATCAATCGATCGGAAGTCTCGATATACATACAGTTTCTCTTTGCTAACATCATTAAAATTAATATCAAGTAAACAGAAATTCAAGTCGTGATCAGACACAAAAGAAATTTGGTCAAATTTTAATACCGAACGATAAATTATTAATAACAATGATTTGAACGATTTGAAGGAGTACATGATTAGTCAGAATCACGAAAAATGGCAAACTTTGACAGATCATATCTCCAAAGAAAAAACCGAAAAAAAATCCTCGAACACGTGTGATCTTATTTCATGTATAGAACCCATACAAAAATTTCGCCCGATAACACACCTCTCCATCGTAGCGAAGACACTAGAGGCTTTCTCACTCCCTAACTATACGTATCAATATGGCTTGCGCAAAGTGCACAGAAGCACCACCGCACTTAACACCATAAACGCTCAGTTAACTCGTGGCCTTAGCTGAAACCGCCCCTGTGAGAGAACAGTCCTAGTAACGTTGGATCTGTCGAAGACGTTCCACAACTTTTGTCATTTCCCGCTACTTGAATGCTAATAAATAGATTTCCTTTCTCCTACAGGGGGTCGGACGTCTTAAACGTCAAAGTCAAAGAAAATTAAGCAGGGAGCCACATGCAGTATTCTCTGCCTCGTCTGTTTAATTTTCATATTTCTAAGCTTTCCTAACCACCAGAGGTAGTTTCCATCATCTCAACGCGGACGATTGTTCGATATTGGTGTTCGGCAATGGAATTAGATGGCCTGTGCTCAAAAGTAAACAGTTACCTCTCTGAACTTTCTCACTTCCTCACTGCAAGGAGCCTAACTCTCTCCTCTAAATTCTCTTCAACCATTTTAACCACGTTGACGAAACAGGTCAGACTACAGCTGGGTATTCACGTCGATGGCGGTGAATAACCCGAAATTTCTCAGTTGATCTTCGGTTGCCTGCTCTATTTCTCAGCACACAAAGCCGCTACAGAGCCCTCAAATCGTGCGGCGGCAGCACTTGAGCTAAAGGCAAAAAACGTTGTTGGCAACATATAAGACAATTGTCCGACCGGTTCTAAACTGTGCAACACCTTTATGGTCACCGGGGACAAGTAGGATGCAGTGGACGAAGATACAGACTTGCTACACCCCGGACAGCTACAGGATGCCTTCTGATATCGCCTTAACATCACCCCCGTTATGTATAAGGTCCAGGCTTTATACTGGCCGTTAAGAAATGTTTTCAACACGTAGAATTTTGCTGGTAGAATATTTATAAAATGCCTAAAAATGATCTCAAACATCAGGCATTAAAAAATGTCCAAGTTTATGTCATAGGTTCTCAACAAATTACGTAGACAGGCTCGAAGGTAAGGTAATGTTAGCCGCAAGTATAAAATTGTTAGAGATAAATAAATGTTTGTGCGTAAAATTATTTGGATGGAAAAGTTATGAGCGAAGACACGCGGATCTACCGACTTTTTTGTTTGTTTATTTTGTCAAAGATTGCTGCGCAAATGTAGAAGTTGCATTAAGAACTTTCTCTCATGTTCGCCAACAATTTTTGGCTTTGCCGACTATCAAAAATTACGATTTCGGCTTAAATGAATATAAAAATGACGGTTTCTGGCAAATTAATCACGATGACGTTATCAAAAACTTCGTTGAAATGAAAAATATTTGTATTTTGCGCTATTGATTTTCTGAATCAATCAGATATATATTTGTGAAAAATTAAAAAGGTTTTCTTCATTCAATGCTCATCCTGCAAAACGAAAAAATTATACCGGCAATAAATTTACAAAGCATTTGTTTTAAGATAGACCTAACAATAAATTTACAAAGCATTTGTTTTAAGATAGACCTAACATAATCGAAATTTTTTTTTTTTTTTTAAGTTTTTACCTGTTAAATTAGGTTATGTTTACAACTTTAACAAACTAAAATCTGGAGGATGCCCTGCAGCCACCGTTTGCGTTTGAGTACCACCGGGGGCCCGCAACACATAATGAGCTCAACAGCTCACTCCTGCACTTATATCATCGTAGCTTATATTTCGAAGAGTTGAGCCGAGAATTGAGTCCTGCGCTGCATCCGTTCATTTTAAAGTGCCACCGAGTTTTGAAGATATGTAAATATGTTAGAGCGCTGCTCCCGTGTAGATATTATCAGTGTTGCCGTTTTAGCCGTTTGGTGGCTAGATTTAGCTACCACATACTTTTTTTGGCCACATAAATTTAAAATTGTCCCAAGCCTTTTTTAGCCCTTTGGAGAATTTATTCATACACGAAAAAGTTGTATAGTATGCTTAATTTGATCAAATTTTTTTTTCATTTAGGTAAGAGATGAATTTTTAAACTAAGAAAGACTGACATATATACATTATGTGTATTGTATGTTCCTTACGATTTTATACACATGTACATACTGTAAAACTATTAGGGCTGTTAACTTATCTATTAACGATTTAACTATAGTTTAAAATAAATAAGTTTACGGCCTTAATATGCTTAATTTGTTAAATGGCCCATCAAGTCGATTGACCGTGTATGTTCTTGTGGTGTGATTGTACCAGCTGCTGGTGCGACTTCAAAAACTATTTGAAAATTTTATGGTTGTACCAGCATGCTGGTGTCGTGAGTGGTGAAATTAGCTCAACTTTCTAATTAAAAAGTAAATTTCTTGCCCTTTATGTGTCAAAGCCGTGTTTGTGGAAGATTAAGTTCACGATATTGCAGTTGTGAATTAAAAAATAAATAAAAAAATAATGTTTAACAAAATGGTAGAAAAATTATGAAATTTCGGCTCCAATCATTTCGATCTTTCCTCGAACTCATTTGTAAAGAAATAAATATTGTACCAGCATGCTGGTAAGTTATATGCTTCGAGCCTGATGGTACAATCCATGGTGAAACAAATACAGAAGGTGGCGCTGATTGTGATACCGCTAACTCCCTCTTGAAAATTTTACCAGAAATATGACGTCATAGGAGATTTTGTATATTGTCTGTGTGAAATACATATACATGTACATATGCAAAACATATACATACTGATCACGTTACTATCCCGAATTTCACATCAATCAGCGCAATATTGTATTCTATCGGTCTTGGGTATAATCACTTGATAGAGCCAGCAAGCTGGTGTCGTATATTTCCCCTTTTATACAAAAAGGTTTTTGGTTGGATAAAATATTAGCTTTTTCCAGAGTTCATTGTTTTTCTATACCATCACTTATTGAAAATGTTTGCGTGTATACTTATATATGTATATGTAAGTAAACAATTTTAGCTACCGCTCCGCTTTTAATTGTTGCTTCCATGGTTCATTGACTAGGCCTGAATCCGTACCGCCGATGTTATAGTCCTCCTGCGTTACAAATATGTAGCTACCCTGCAAAAAAAAGTATCAATTGATAAAAAATAGCCAACTTGTAGTTAGCTTTTTTGCGGGATTTCTATAAAATATATAAATTGTAGTTAGCTACAAAAAGCTAACTTGAAACTAGTTGGAAATCAATACAGGTGTAATGCAGTAATCGGGTGATTGTTTCCTTTAAACAAGTTTCTGTTTAAATATCCTCGTACAAATTTTACTTTGAATACACTTTCTTTCTGCACTTCACAAATACTTTTTCGAATTGGGGGAAAATAAAAGGAAGATAGAAATTTTATATTACCACTTTGAAGTTATGTCTGAGGGAGTTCGAATATGGGACCACCTACTGCAGAATATGTAAACAAATATGTGATCTAATAAGATGAAGTAAATAAATAAAAAAGTAAAAAAAAAACTATTATGTTTTTCTTAATTGATACAAAAGTAGTTAGTTACAAGCTAGTTGACATCTGATGCAGAGGTAGCTACCCTTGACTATTTCGCTTTCCTCAAAGAAAATATACAGATAATAATGACCTTTAGTTCCTTCCTAATCAACTTCAAGTGAACTTATAGTTAGATAAATTTCCCATTGGGTATGTTCAGACGAAGTTTCAGCATCCTCTCGAATCTAGCCTGTTGCCGAAAACGCAACTCTGGATAACGCTTGCGTTTTCAAAAGGTGAACTGAAGCCAAGTCAGAATCTTTTGGCCTAATACCATAGTTCTCACCCAACTTATTTAACATTCGCCGCAGGTTTTGAAATGGCTATAACTTTTACACTTTTTGTCCGATTTTGAAATCGTTTCAGGACAATGGCAAATTTTGGTCTTCTTTCTGATAAACTTAAACAATTTAAAATTTTAGCATATTTATTGGCATTTTTTCTCCTAATCACGTTGCTTTTTACATATGTAAATATTTTGTTGATTTCCTTTGATTTTTCACGCCTTAAGAAGTTAGTAAAACCTTGGAAACGAAATTATTTACACTATATGCTAGAGCTGGAAAACTATCGATGGTCGTGGCCATCGATAGATTCGATAGTCGTTAGTCACAACCATCGATAGTATCGATACTATCGAAAATGTCGACACCATCGATATTACTATCGATAGTTTTGATTGAAAACGTCCAACAATTAAAAATAACAACTTTTATTGAAAAAAATATCAAAATTCCTAAAATTTGTCGATATTTTTGTTAAGGAACAAAAGTTTATCAACTATTTTTGGCTTCAAGCAGCATTTGCGCTCTGAAATGAGTATGTTACTGAATAATGTATGTATCGATAGTGATTACAAAACCATCGATGTTTTCGATGGTCAAAAATCATCGATACTATCGATAGTGCCATCGATAGTTTTCCAGCTCTACTATATGCGTTAATATTTACCTTAAGACGATTGAAAAGTGCGCATCTGGTTGTATTGGATAGGGTGTTAATGATTTGCGTTCGAATAATTTAAATAGTTTTAGTACTATTAATAAATCATTTAACAACCTCTGTCTAAAGGGTTTAGGAACTCTGAGTCATGGTGTACTTGAAATTACGGCCTATAGCGAAAGACGGTTCGGAAATATTTAAATGTTCATAGCGGCGCAAATAAACGAAGAGACAGAATAATTGGTAACAAATTACAAATAAATTAGTGGAAAGTTACAAAACCCTTATACAAATTTTGTTTTATAAACTTTAATGCGAGAAATACTGAAAATGGGTATTTTTTTAATTTCTAGGCAGTTCAACTGGGTACGCTTGAGCATTTCTTCCGTTTAATATCTTATCATATATTCTTTTGTTGTTAAAGTATACTATCCTTGGGGATTAGACGACGTTAAAAAGGATTTTTATACTTGCTTTGCTAGTATTTTATTCATTCCTATGCGCTCGTGCTAGTGCTAGTGCTGATACGTACCTCAATTTTTGAACGCTACCGTAAGTATAACGGTAAACACCAATGAAATTAGTGCGGGAGATTGGAGTTCTATAAATCTGCAAATTTTGATCTCCTCCATCAATGAAACTACAGCAACTTCTACTTAACTACGACTTCTATACATGACATATACAAAATATGCATACAGATATACGTTTATGCATATACAGTGGTCGAAAAAATTATAGCCGCACCACATATTGACTGGTTTTACCATATTATTATTATTTTTGTTATTTAATTTTTAGTTATTCTTTATCGAAACCCGTGTAAATCAAAGTTTCAAACTTTGGGTAACATTAAAAATCAACAAACATTCGTCAAAATTTCGAGCTTTTAATTCGATTTCTTGGAAAAGTTTTAATTTCTGTACTCCGTTGAATTCTAGTATAATAAACTACAAGTTTCAAATGGCTAAAAATGATCGGTGATTTTTAAATTTTTTTTTTAAAGATGTTACAGGTCTCTTCCATATAAAAATAAATTGTGTTTATTCGTTATATGGAAGCAAATGGGGGAAAAAATTAAAAAAAAATTAACGGTGAAATGTTGTTCTTGCTTTTCCTTAGATTGTAGTGCATAGGATTGGCTAAGCCAACGAATTCTAATAATTTTTGGTAGCGACCGTAACCACTCCTTTATATGGACCTGTCCGATAATCCGGACGAGAGTCGCATACAAAATTGCAGTGCTTCGATTAAAATAAACGCGTGTTCTTGTATTTTCTTTTATTTGCTTTATTAAGGCCAGTTGTCCAAAGCAGTATTGAACGAACTAGCGCGTACGAATGCAAAATGAAAATGAGCTCGGTTTCAATGCTTACATGAATATTTATAGGCAATCATGACAATGCAGAACGTCAGTGATGCATTTTTGCGTACCCAAATGCAGAGCACAGGGTTGTATTTTCGACAGGACATTACAGTGAGTCCACATGTATATCAGATAACATAACATTTATGGTATAACATAAAACAATGAAGTAGATTAATATGTAAAAAC